TGTGTTTCCTAGAAAGAAGTCCAAGAGCATCTGCCTGTTAGATTTAACTGGAAATATAAGATTAATTTAAAGTCACTCGAACATAGGCAAAGCTTTCGAGATTCTTATCACCAGGACCTATTACAGCATACTGTCTTCAATCTCCTTTCATAACCTCACTATTGTGGCTATGTTAATGTCCTTAGTATGTCTACATTCATCTATTTGTTACAGCTGATCCAAGCCATAGTACTTTTAACTGCTTTTTATGTATGCAAAAGTTGGAGAAACAATAAGGAAGGGAATAATAATAATAAGGGAAAAGTTATGCCTTTGGATTGAGGTGTTGGCAGAGTGCTGAGTATACTATGAACTGCCAAAAGAACAAATACATCTAACTTAGAGGAAGTCAACCAAGGCATTTCTTAGAGGCGAGGATGGTAAAGCTTTGTTTCACACACTTTAGGCATGTCGTCAAGAGGAGCCAGCCTTGGAAAAAGACATCAGGAAGGGAAAAGTAGAGGGTCAGCATAGGAGAGGAATGCTGTCAAGGAGATGGACTGACGTACTGGCTGTAAGGATGGACTTGAGCATGGCAGGGAAGGGGAGAAAGAAAGACAGGGCAAGGCTCTGATCTGTTGTTCAGAGGGGTAGAATGAGTCATAGTCAACTCGGTGACATCTAAGAACAAAGTCTCTGGTCATGTTGTTTCCCCTAACTATACAATATATCTATCCCATCTCCTTCACTGCAATAAAGAAAAGCTTTCAGTAGTGATACAGTGAAAATACGTTGTTGTTGTGTATCATAGAGTCAGAACTGAACTGTAGCTGACCCTTCAGCAGATGTTCAGAGGCAGGTAATCGCATGGGAAGAGACTGCCTATCCTTCTCCTGAGATGAATTAAAACTTTATGCAAATTAGCAGAGTCATCTCTGACGTCGTTATGTACCGTTAAATTGGAACTGACTCCTAACTGACCTATTATCGGGTTTGCAGAGGCTGTAAATTGCACAGGACAAGACTGCTCATCTTCCTCTTATGGAGCAGCTGGCGGATTCAAACTGCATGCTTTTGGGTTGGCAGCACAACTCCTTACCACCAAGCCACCAGAGCTCCCTATCTTTTCTAGCAGAAAGGAAAGATGTTCTCTCCAGATTATAGAAGGAATTAGATCAAGAAATAAAACTGGGATACATTTAGCTTAAGTCTGAGGAATCCGAACCATACTCTAACTTGTCACCCATATTTTTTCTAGGGAAAGTAATTTACACATCTGATTTATACGTATTTAGCATCTTTATTTTTAGCCTTGACAAAGTAGGGTGGTTTGCAAAGTAGGTACTTGTTTTTACAGCTGGAATAATTAAGGATAAAACCTAATAGCAACATCTTCCACTGCAATTAAAACTGCATTGTACCTGTAATTGGTCTCTACTCACCGACAAAAGCAGAGGAAGAAGTAGAGTTAGAAACAACAGTAAAAGTGTATGGAGAGCAACTACCATAACTGAACAATATGATCACAGATTCTATAGAAGAATCTTGAGCAAAAGAGAAAAAAGAAAAACAACCCAAACCCTGAATAATTTCAAATTTTCAGTCAGCTCAGACTTTCTAGAGTTGTGGAGGCTGAATGAACCCCTGAAACTAGTGCCCTGAGAAAATCTTTGCATCTTAGACAAAGAATCTCTTCCTAAATTTTCTTAAACCAACAGTTTAAGTAGTAAAGATGATCTGCCTTGAGTATTGAGCTCTCTCAGGCTCTATCTAGGGAACATTCTCAGCTGCTCTATCTGGTGGTGAATTTATAGGAAGTTGCATTATTAACACAAAGGCCAAGCCTTTTTGGTGGTTCAAATCCACCAGTGATTTTCAGGGAGAAAGAAGGGAAATCTCTTCCCATGTGATTTTCAGCCTCAGAAACCCACTGGTGAATGAAATGGGTTATGAAAAGCATTACCTATATAGGATCAAATT